TGTTAGTACTGTATGTTGATGATATATTGCTCATAGGGAATGGCATATCGGCATTGCAAAGTACCAAGATTTGGCTATCTGAATAGTTCTCCATGAAAGACTTGGGAGAAACAGCTTATATATTGGGAATAAAGATCTATAGAGATAGATCGAGGAAGCTGCTTAGACTTTCCCAATCTTTATACATTGATACCATTTTAAAGGTATAACATGGATAATTCCAAAAGAGGCTATCTACCGATTGGCACTGGAATTACTCTCAGTAGGGAGGATTGTCCTAAAACACCTGAAGAGAGAGAATGTCACGACCCCAAACCACCCCGATCGTGATGGCGCCTATCACAGTACTAGGCAAGCCGATTCAACACTAACAACATAAGGGTCTTTTATAAATTCATTTCCAATCAGTTAAGAACACAAGTCTTTCATTTTAATATAACAAAATACGCAGAAAAACAAATATGCAAATACATCCACACTGCCCGATCCTGGTGTCACTAGTCATGAACCACTAAGATACTGTCCAGTACTGTCTACTCAATACAAGAAAAGACTAAAATAAATAACACTAAGGATAGGAAGGAGAAAGATAGGGATGCGAACGCCGTGCAACTACCTTTCTATCTCCGGAAATACTCAGAAGCTGCTGGAAGCTCTCACTCTGATGCGCGAGCACCTGGATCTGCACACAAGGTGTAGGGAGTAACGTGAGTACGCCAACTCATTAAGTAACCAAAGTAAATAAAGGCTGAGTGCAGTGACGACCATTTAAATTATATACATAATCTAACATAGAATCTCAATAGAAATATCAAAGTCAAATCCATAGTTCAATTTCCAAACAGCTCATAAAAACTTCACTTTCAATGAAAGTTATTTAAAACATTTGTTCAACCCATTTTCAATAGAGGCTCAGTATAAAAGAAGAGTGAAAACAGTAATTTCATAAACAAGCCCCTCAGCAAAGCATCACTCATATATGTCTATCCCCTCGGGCAACCTCTCAGTCACTCGTAACTCAACTCTCGTCAATCAACACTCTCACTCAGCACTCTCGCTCAATAGATATCTCATAATAATAACTGCAGTGGCGTGCAGCCCGATCCGTAAATATATAGTCGACTGCGCTCACTGGGGGTGTGCAGACTCCGGAGGGGCTCCTACAGCCCAAGCGCTATATCGCTGCGGCGTCCAGCCAGATCCAACATATCGCTGCGGCCTCTCTCAGTCATCAACCTCACAGCCACTCGGGCATTTCAGTAAAAATCAGGGAAACTCAGCCCAAACAACTTTCATATGTTAGAGTAATGAAACTGAATCAAAAGTAAACAGGTAGAAATCATGACTGAGGATATGCCGAATTTGGCTCAAACCCAGCCCCCCGGGCCCACGTCTCGGAATCCGATAAAAATTACAAAACTAGAAAGCCCATTCACTCACGAGTCCACCCATATGAGATTCATCAAAATATGACATCAAATGGCCATCCAAATCCCCAAAATCAACTCTCAAAATTTTCTTCCATCTTCCCCAATTTTCACCCCAAATTCCCAAATTAAATGATAAAAATTAAGACATAATCATGGAATTTAACCAAATTTGAGTGAAGAACACTTACCCCAATCACTCCTCTGAAAAATCCCCTCCAAAATCGCCTTCTCCCGAGCTCTCTATTAAATTTTGGAATTATGAACTCAAGCCCTCGTTTTTGAACTTAAACATTCTGCCCAGACATTTCCTTCATCGCGAACGCGACATCCTCCTCGCGTTCGCGTAGAACAAAACTCCACTGCCATTTTTTCCTCTTTCGCGAACGCGACCTCCTTCCCGGGAACGTGAAGCTTCAGTTGCCAGAGCCTTCGCGAACGCGATGAACAAATTCCTGGGGTCCCAGCTGCTCCAACTTCCCTATGCGAACGCGACGCTACTCACGCGTCTGCGATTCACTGGAGACCCAAAAACCTACGCGAATGCATCTTCACCCCCTGACCAAGCTCTTCTTCGCGAACTTGGGACAATCTTCGCGAATGCGAAGAACAAACCTTCTGCAACAAAATACCAACAAAAATCTGCTACCTTTCAAGTTCAAAAAATGACCCATTGAGCATCTGAAACACACCCGAGGCCCTCGGGACCTCAACCAAACATGCCAACGCATCCCATAACATCATTCAAACTTGTTCCAACCTTCGGAACACTCAAAACAACACCAAAACATCAAATCACCATCGGATTCAAGCCTAAGGATCCCAAAACTTCCGAATTTCGCAAATGATGTAAAAACCTATCAAACCTCGTCCGAATGACTTGAAATTTTGCACACACATCACAAATGACACAACAGACCTACTCCAATTTCAGAAATCCAATCCGACCCTGATATCAAGATTTCCACTACCAACCGAAAAACACTAAAATTCCGATATTGCCAATTCAAGCCTAAATCTACCACGGACCTCCAAAATACATTCCGATCACGTTCCGAAGTCCCAAATCACCTGACAAAGCTATCCAAACCATAAAAACCCAATTCCGAGATCATTTACCCACAAGTCAACTTCCAGTTGACTTTTCCAACTAAAAGGCCAACTTAAGAGACTAAGTGTCTCATTCCTCTCCAAAACCACTCCAAACCCGAACCAACCAACACGATACGATGAAGTGTAGCTGAACAACACATAAAGAAGCAGAAATGGGGAAAACCGGGCGGTAACTCATGAAACGACCGCCCGGGTCATTACAGAGAACGCATGAGTAGGATCCCATACACTAGTGCGGTAGGAGCGATCATGTATACCATGACATGTACACGTCCTGATGTGGCTTATGCACTAGGAGTGACTAGCCGATATCAGACAGATCCTGGTGAGGAACATTGGAAGGTGGTGAAGACCATTCTTAAGTACTTAAGAAGGACTAAAGACCAATTCCTCATTTATGGAGATTTTGAGTTGAAACTTGAAGGTTATACTGATGCAAGTTTCTCTTCAGATAGAGATGATAGCAAATCTATTTCTGGTTATGTATTCACCTTAAATGGTGGTGCAGTGAGTTAAAAAAGTTCCAAACAAGCTACAATAGCTGATTCGATGACTGAAGCAGAACATATAGTAGCTAGTGAAGCTGCTAAGGAAGCTGTATGGATTAAAAAATTCTTAACTGAACTTGGTGTGGTTAGTTCAATAGAAGATGCAGTTCCATTGTTGTGTGAAAACACTGGAGCTATTGCTCAAGCAAAAGAACTAAGATCACACCAAAAATCCAAACACGTTCTGCGAAGGTATCACTTGATAAGAGAGATCATTGAACGTGGAGACATCGAGATTCAAAAGGTTGATGGAAAGGAAAATGCTACAGACCCATTCACTAAAGATCTTGGCGCAAAGGAGTTTGACAAGCACAAGTGGAAATTGGGAATGAAGTACAAGAGCGATTGGCTCTAGTGCAAGAGGGAGATTGTTAGGGATATAATAGATATGCCCTAGATCCAATCTCATATTTGATGATTCGAACATATTAATGTGAACATTATTTCACTTAAAATATATATGGCATTTTATATTCTTTTATCATTATTATTAATTGGTTGGTTAATTTGATAAGGTCCTTGATTAAATTTTGAGACTTGTCATCGTTATGGAGATCATGATTATGAGAGAAAAGTTTCTTATAGTTTAATCTAAATTTGTTCTTGATCGTAAAATAATTAATTTGGACATTAGTAATCCGGTTAGACCAATATTTTTGTGATTGTATCTATGGGATAAAGATTAGCTGATCTCATTAACTAAATCACATAGATAGATGATGCATATAGAGATATGATCATTGAACTGGCTCATTGGATAATTCCTAATGGTTAGAATTACCATAAACTGTCAACAGGATATTCTCTTGAAGAATGTGATGTAAGAATTTTCTTTGACCTGAGATCGTCATAGTAATTGACAAGTTATTTATTGTGCTTTGATACTAGACACCTATGGCCCTAGGGTGATAGTTGAAAGGATATTGGGTATAATTAAATGCTTGTAGAGTTAGTGATTGATCAAGATGGATCTGTCAACTCTTGGTAATGAGTTTAAGCTCCATATTATCATGAATTATAAACGACCAAACTAAGACCTTGGCCAGGGCGATTGAATGAAAGAAGAAAAGAGTTTCTTAGGTCATTCAATGGTCGATTATATTTGACATGAACATATAGTTAGTAGCCTATTAGGATTTGACAGTTGAACCATATCCTAGGGTGACTCAGAGCTATAAGGGCAGAAGGAAATACTACTTTATTCTTCTACGGGTTCTTGAGAGTAAATTGTATACTTCATGCTATCCGGTCATTAAGGAGTGTTGCTAGACGCCGCCCTTGATTAGTATATTGATGTGATTAATTTACTACCGGTTTAGTATTGAACCTATGGGGTCGCACACTTACGAGTGTTCTGGTCTTTGCTAAAGGATTAATTAACTTATTATTTGATAATTAGATTAAGGAATTTAATTAGTCAAATAGATTTAGTTATTAGTCCAAAATAAAATATTATTATATTCTTTGCTAGCACAGAGGATATAATTAATATTGTGAATAAATTGATCTTTCCTATTTGGAATAGAAAATTGAATTATATCTCTTGGTTGAAATATAAAATATAGATATATATATATGGTATATATCTAGTCGATTTTATATTTTATGGTTGAAATATAAAATATAGATATATACATATGACAATATAATTCTATATTTTGTGTATGTCATTTGTATGTTTTTACCGAATATCAACAACATAAATATTTCATGTATATCAACGGTATATTTTGCTATATATATTGCTAGTTTTTGAAATACCTATTCTTCCATTAAAGCAGGTAATTAGGGCCCTAACTCTGCCAAGACTCAGATTGATTATCATCTCCTTAAGAGAGATGATAAGGGCCTTTGTACGGACTGTAAGGTTATCCCGAGTGAGTGTCTGTCGATGCAACATAGGCTCTTGGTAATGGACTTGGAGGTCAAGGGAGCAAGGAAGAAGAGAGTGGTGTGCGGCCAACCTAAGATTAAGTGGGGAGACTTAACTAAGGGAAAGGTTCAGGAGTTGAGAGAGAAGCTGTTGGCTATGGGGTGCTGGAGGAGTAGTGGGGACGTGAGTAGTATGTGGACCACGACAGCGAACTGCATTAGGGAAGCTTCTAGGGAGGTGTTAGGGGTCTCGAAGGGTTACTCGGGTGGCCACAAAGGGGACTGGTGGTGGAATGGGGAGGTCTAAGGAAAAGTGGAAGCTAAGAAAGCAGCATATCTTAAGCTAGTGGGGAGCACAGACAAGGAAGATCGGAGGTCGTATATGGAGTGTTACAAGAAGGCAAGGAGAGAGGCGAAGCTCGTGGTCACGCCGGCTAAGACTGCAACTTTTGAAAGATTGTATGAGGATCTCGGGGCAAAGGAGGGGATATGAAGCAGTACAAGTTAGCCAAGATTAGGGAGAGAAAGGCTCGGGACCTGGATTGAGTGAGGTGCATCAAAGATGAAGACGGTAAGGTTTTGGTGGAAGAGGCGTGTATCAAGCGTAGATGGCAAGAGTACTTCCATAAACTCTTGAATGAGGAAGGGGATAGGAACATCGTGCTAAGGTGAGTTGGGGAACTCAGATAGATTTTGGGTTTTGTAGGCGTATTAAGTGCGAGGAGGTTGATGTGGCAATACGGAAGATGAGCATGGGTAAGGCAACTGGGCCTGGCGAGATCACGGTGGAATTTTGGAAGAGGAGGGTAGGGTAGGCTTGGAGAGGCTTACTAGCTTGTTTAACGTCATTTTCAAGACGAAGAAGATACTCGAAGACTGGCGGTGGATCTTGATGATTCCGTTGTACAAAAACGAAGGTGATATCCAGAACTGCAACAATTATAAGGGTATCAAGTTGCTGAATCACACTATGAAGGTTTGGGAGAGGGTGATAGAGAAGAGAATGAGGAAATGTGTATCTATATATGAGAACCAGTTCGAATTTATGCAGGGAAGGTCAACTATAGAAGCTATTCACCTTGTGAGACGATTGGTGGAGCAGCATAGGGAGAGGAAAAAAGACTTACACATGGTGTTCATTGACCTTGAGAAAGCCTATGATAAAGTCCCGATGAAGGTGCTATGGAGATGTTTGGAGGTTAGCGGAGTCCCGATAGCATCCATTAGGGTGATTAAGGACATGTACAAAGGTGCTAAGACTCGGGTAAGGACTGCGGGAGGAGATTCAAAACATTTCCCTATGGAGATGGGGTTGCATCAGGATCAACCCTTAGCTCGTTTTTGTTTGCCCTCCGTTGGATATGCTGATGCAACACATATAAGGGAGAGTTCAATAGTGTATGTTATTTGCTCATGACATAGTACTGATTGACAACATGCGAGAGGGTGTTAACGCTAGGTTGGAAGTTTGGAGATAGACGCCGGAGTCCAAACGTTTCAAGTTGAGTAGGTCGAAAACTCAATACTTGGAGTGCAAGTTCAGTGATGAGAGGCATGAAGAAGAAGTGGAAGTAATGATTGATACTCAAGTCATTCCCAAAAGAGATAGTTTCAAGTATCTTGGGTCTATAATCCAAGGTGAGGGGGAAATTGACGAGAATTTTACTCACCGCATTGGAGCGGGTTGGATGAGATGGAGGCTAGCTTCAGGGGTTTTATGCAACAAGAATGTGCCGCCTAGACTTAAGAGCAAATTCTATAGGGTGGTGGTTAGATTGGCTATGTTGTACGGAGTTGAGTGTTGGCCCGTCAAGAAGTCCCATGTCCAGAAGATGAGCGTAGCTGAGATGAGTATGTTGAGATGGATGTGTGGACATACTAGGAAAGACAAGATTAGGAATAAAGTTATTAGGGACAAGGTGGGAGTGACATCTATGGAAGACAAGTTGCGGGAATCGAGGCACATGATTATATGACCATGATAATATGATGTATAAAATGTATTAAAAAGGAGTAGTATTTTAAGTAATTTGAGACAATTCTTAATTATGTGGGTAATTTATTAATTATAGGTTTAATGGGAGATTAACCATGTAATTAAGGATTTGTGAATAATTGTAGGTGGGGACAAAGCCCCCCCCCCCCCCCACGTGGCAGCAAGTAGAGAAGGGTCTAATGACTCTTGATTTAAGCTACTAGATTAGAAAGACACATGTGCTTTTTGCTGAAGACAAGGCATACACACACATTCTATAATTGATCAACTTTTTGTCTAACATCACTACTTGGAGGCCTAGGCTGATGTTGATCATTTATTCCTTAGATTTGTCCCATGAATAAATACGAATTATCTAAAACCATCTCCCTCCGTGTCTCTTATTAATTATTTCTGATTTTGAATATGAACCACCACACATATTCCCATTCGTGTGAATTGCCATGCTACTAAAAACAATTTGAATTCTCCTTAAGTTCATGGTTTCACAGTAAAGGAAAGAAAGTAGCATTTGGGGGAAGATGCACTTAGCCCTCAAAAATGCGGAAAGAATGACTATGTTAGTCATCTTTACAATTGTGTTCAATTGATATCAAAACTCTATTTTTGGAGGAGATTTTGGAGTTCACATGGGACTTTATGTTAAAATAGCAACGACAGTTCTTAAAATTTTGAAGAAATTCATACGAAATTATACTACGTAATAGTAACGGGATTTTACGATTCTAAGGGAGTACGGTTCAACCTTTTCCAAGATTATCATACATATTTTTCCCCTACGCCAGGTATGTTAAGGCTATCCCTTCTTTCTTTTGGCATGATCCATACGATACAAATGAAACGAGCAAATGCACAACTTCCATAAATGACTCCATTCATAGAAATATTAGAAGTGCCTATGTTCTTGAATTCCATATGTCTTATGATTCCATCGTCTGTTCATGGGTCTCAGAAAATACGTAAATTGATTTTATGATATTAATCAGAGGCATAATGATCTTATGACACTCCGAAAGATTTTATTGACGTACTTCTCATGCATTACATTCATTTACATTGACCCATGACCAAATGGAGTTATATACGCGTATATATGTATATTATATGTATATGGGATATGGGAAAAGGTTACGACGTTATATACGCACCACCACCTAATCAGCTGGTATACGTTGATCATTTTGCCCTCAGTGGCCGAGAGATATGATGGGATTCCCTCAGAGGCTTGATGATGTTATGAACACATGTACCCATGTAGGACATGACATTCATACGCATATGCATGACACTATTAGTATTTCATGATTTACAGAGTTATTCAGACTTATAGGTTGAGTCATTTACTCTATATTTTTTCCATGTATTTTATGTACTTATTTATGTGCCTTACATACTCGGTATATTATCCTTACTAACGTCCTTTTTTTCCTGGGGACGCTGTGTTTCATGCCCGCAGGTCCCGATAGACAGGTCTAACATCCTCTAAGTAGGCTGTCAGCTCCGCGGAAGATGTTGGTGCGCTCCATTTGCTCCGGAGTTGCTTGTTTGGTCAGTATGATTTAGATGCGTTTGGTATGGCGGGGCCCTGTCCCGACCTTTATAATATTATGTATTCTTAGAGGCTTGTAGACATATGTCATATACGTAAAAGATTGTATGGCCTTGTCGTCCTATATTTAGTATACGAGTGATCATTTTGGTCTTATAGGCCCGTATGTCTTATGTATAAGTTGGTATTACATGTTTTGTTCTAGCTATCCTACGGCATCCCTTCCGCCTCATTTACCTATGATAGCATGATACGAAAAGATACGTTATGTTGGTACTCGGTTGAGTAAGGTACTAGGTGCCCGTCGCGGCCCATCGGTTTGGGTTGTGACAAAAGTGGTATCAGAGCAGTTTTCTCCTAGGGAGTCTACAAGCCATGTCAGTAGATTCTTATTTATGGGTGTGTTGTGAACCACACATATAAGCAGGAGGCTACAGGGCATTTAGGACTATCACTCTTTCTTCTTACGATAGAACGTGTGGTAGAGCTCAGTTGTAAGAACTCAATTTCCTAAACTCTATCTTATTCGTAATACGACGATGCCTACATATTGAAAGACGATTGGTAAGAGATTGCATGTAGCTGTGAAATATTTGAGGCAGAAGAGCTCGCTTTTGCATCATGTTTATGGTGAATAAGATGTGATACATGGACAACAACGGTAGATCAAAAAGATGACAATATTACAGAATCTATAGTCAAGTAAAGGAAAAGACAAGAGGTGATAGGCCTTGAGACAATAAAGAGTATAGGCCATAAAGTCATATCCTCATTTCAAGAAATAAGTTCGCGACTCCAACGTGACTACCAGAAGGAAAAGTTAAACCCAGAGTAATAGGAACCAGTATGGGCTGGTGAACAAGATAAACTAAACATGAATTAGGGACTGAGTGATTTGATAATAGTCGGCATCATGAGAATTTTAGAGATTGCATTCCGGTGATAGTAGAATGGACGTCAGAAGGATAACCTTTAAAGGTCATTCAGGAAGACGCTTTCCTAAAGCAAGAAAGGTAAGCAAAGTTAAGCTTAAGGGACTATATGTGCCAGTTACACCCTCGCGAGTAAGAAAATTTGTTATCCTTGGTCCAGAAGGATTGTTGCAAGGCAAGTAAGGGTCATCGATGATGTGAAAAGATGCCAAAAATGAGGAGATAAAACATCTATACGTAAATCATCGTAGCACTAAATCTTAGTACTCCCCAAAAGGGGGGAAATATGGAGTGATGTGGCATTAAATCAGAATTAAGTAGTTCTGGTAATTATGGAATGGTAAAGGGAGAATGCGATAAAATGAAAAAGGGATGATATTGCACTTATTCAAAGCCTACAGATATGCTACGATTCCAGAACATTATGCAAACACGACGTCAAGAAAATGAAGTAAGGGTTCCTGCTCGGATGTTATTGATGAATAAGGAGCCAGTGCGAAAGGTAAGTTAAAATAAAAGAAATAACCCAAGAAAGATTACGCAGAACATTGATATGAGAATGGGCCAACGAGTAGTTGGTAGTCGATTCAGGAAGAGCCTAGTTATGGCTAAATAGGAGGTTACAGATGAGTCAGTAGATCGTGCAAGATAAACATAGTAAAACCCAATAGTGAATTCAGCCTCGCAGTAATGTATTGTAATACTTGAGAAATATTCTGATAGGAGTTGAGGTAGTTAAAGGTACCGTATGAGTTTTACGGGAATAAAAGAAAGTGCCACTGGAAAGACAGTCGAAATATCAGTTTATAAGCAACCCTACAAGCACAAGGACGTGGAAGTAAGTAACTACGGATAATTATAGGCAAGGAAGGACATCAAAAGATTCGCAATAAGCTCGCAGCTTTACAAAAGTCAGAGGGTCTTACCTAAGTACCACAATTAAAGACTAGCTGAGGAAGTAAGGAAGAAGGATTCAACCTAAGCTTAGTGACCCAAAGAGGGAATGGTCTTATAATAACAGTCTCACAACAATATTGCATTCACTCCATAAGAAAGTGGCACATATCGTGGCTAATGAGCAGGAAATGAAACCAAAAGTAATATTCGAGACCATATGAGTTGCACAAAATTCTGTCATGCGTCGGAACTAAGATAAGCTAAGTAAGCACGCATCAAGGAGGCAGAAAGACCAGGAAAAGTAATAGCTTACGTTTAAAAAAAGCTGAGAAGGAATGGAAGGAATTATTGAATCAATGATCTAGTACGTTATGAACACACTTGAGAGTTCGGAGTATTACCATGCAGCATATATGTTGACAATCATATAGCCGTAGAAGATTCTGGTATAAGTTAAATGAAAGATGTAAGCCCAGGTCATAGACAAGGGATTGAATCGTTAGAAGATTGAATCATGGATATTCCATAGCGTCCTTGAAGGGATAAAGTAATAACTAACACCATGAGCCGCAAATCGGAAGATAACTTAAGCCTACATAAAGGTTGATCAGAGGAAAGAGGAAACTAAAGAATTACATCACCCAAGTAAATCAGGAGTTTGATTATTGGACCCAGGAAATTATGGACATCGTGATTGAGAACATTGCAAGGTCACCCTTAATATCAGAGGTCCAAAAGAGATAGTACGACAACTATTGTCACGACCCGGATTTCCCGCCCTCGGGGTCGTGATGGCGCCTACTCGTGGTAGCTAGGCAAGCCTACTCAATTACTCTTCCATTGCTAAGCAAATCTTTTAACAATTTATAGCATCAATATAGAACATGAAATTTAATAATAATAGCGGAAGTCTGAATCATAATCTGAATCAAAACGCGGAACAATCAACAATAGCCTCTACCCAAGACTGGTGTCACATTACTCACGAACTGCTAAGAGTTTACTAAATACAAAGGTCTGAAAGAAACATATAAACTGTTTGTCTCGAAAACGAGGAGGCAACAGTATAAAAGAGAAAATAAGGGAGAGACGCCGGGCCTACGGACGCCTGCAAGGCTACCTCGATCTCGTGATAATGAAAGCCAGCTCCCGTGCTAAAGCTGCTGTTGCTCCTCAAAACCCGGACCTGTGCAAAAATGCACAGAGTGTAGCATCAGCACAACCGACCCCATGTGCTGGTAAGTGTCTAGCCTAACCCCGGCGAAGTAGTGACGAGGCTAGACTGGACACCACATAAACCTGTGCAATTATAAATATACAACGGATTTGAAATACCAGGCAATTAACAATATGGGAGGGGAATCATGCTATGGGGAGATAACAATATTAACAGTAATCCAGAGTAACAATCTAAAGCAGCCTAAATTTACGGTGAATAAGGAACCAATACTCAATATAACACATTTGTATCAATAACTGTTGCGGCGTGCAACCCGATCCACAAATACCACTGTTGCGGCGTGCAACCCGACCCATATCATTTATCATTTATCAGTGGTGCGGCGCCCAACCCGACCCATATCATTTATCATTTATCATTGT